CTTGCAAGAATAAAAAGATAGTAGTTAAACATGATCAAAAAATCAATTAATTAATACAATATATAGTAACCGCCCAAAGCCAGAAATGTAATTCTAAACAAAGAAGTGATAAAGAAAAAAATCAAAGCTTATCTTGAAAGAATAATTAAATGTGATCAAAAAGTCAATCAACTAATACAATATATTGTAACCACCCAAAGTCAGAAATATAATTTCAATAAAGAAGTGATAAAGAAGCCACCTAAAAAGAATGAAAAGGTGGTAGTTAATTATAGTCAAGAAATTAAGATTAACTAACACAATATATAGTAGCCACCCAAAGCTAAAAACATAATTCTAAACAAAGATATAATGAAGAGAAAAATTGAAGCCTACCTTGAAAAATGAAAAGGTGGTAGTTAAGAGTAGGGTGTCTATAGATCATTTTTTATATGATCTATGTGGCAAAATTCATCTCTGATAAAACTTGTTAGAATTGTGACTAATATTCACCAAATTTTTGCAGCATTTAATTTAGAATCTCTTATTTATAGCAGTAAAATTATGAACACTACTATATTCCATTTGCCAAAGTATCCCCCATGTATTGTACCTCCTATAAATTTTTGTAAAATATCCAGATATAATGCTATGAGTATTCTGATTTCAAAATTCAAAATTTGTAAAATACCTGGGGTATATAGATTTATTATAAATTAAATTTTAGTCCAATTTTATATCGTATTACATATATTGCCTATAATAAAAATTTTTTTTTAATAGCTTTAATTTAAATACATTTCTTTAAAATATCCTCATAACATCCTTTTTACGAGTTTCTAAAAAAAAATATTATTTATTAATGAAATATTTTATACATGCCTAATTATTATTTGACTTTATTAGCATATTTATTTTAATAATTAATAAATATTCTATTTGTTTAATAAATATTAATATAAATTATGAATTAAATATTAAAGAATAAATAAATTTGCGTTCTAATAAAATATATATAAAAAAAAAATTTTGAATCAATTTTCGATAAAAAAAAAAAAACTCCTCAATAAAATCTTAATTAAGATCTAAATCTATTTCATCACTCTTATTATTGTTGTTTTCTTTATTGGCATTGTTATTTTGGCTGTCATTTATAATTTCCCATTCGTTTTTATATTCATCATCTTCGGGATATTCATCGTTATATTCATTATCATTGGGATATTCATCGTTATATTCATTATAATCGGGATATTCATCGTTATGTTCATTATCATTAATATTCATATCCTCAATTTGCTCTAACAAACTATCATAGTCAAAGAGCATATCATCCTCAGAACTATCAGTTTGCATCGAGATTCCACAACATTTAAATGATCTTCTAATAAGATCTGTATCAACTCTATCTCATGAATCTCTAACCCAAGTTGCTATAGTTGAGTATGAAGGTCTTTTAATACGACCTGATGGTGTAAAAGTATGAATCATAGATGACATTCATGTATTGTAATATTCTTTGAACTTCAATATCAACATATATAAATTAATATTATATAATAATAAAGCAAACGAAAGAAAAATAAAAATAAAAAATTACCTTAGATTTGAAACTTTTATTAATTGCAACATCCAAAGGTTGTAATATTGAAGTGCAACTTGATGGGATAACAACAAGATTCGTATTTTTTTCTACTAATCGGCTTTTTATTGAATTCATAGTATATGCACGAAATGTATCCAATAATAATATTGATTGAGGGTTATTTAAATGATAGTTTTTTGAAGTCCAAACTGTCTCTATCTACCATAACATTTCATCCTTATTTACCCAACCTGATTCATTAGCTCGAATAAATATTAGGTGGAAAATCTCCACAAGGAATATTTTTTAATTTGAAAATACAAACAGCTAGAAGCTTAGTGCCATTAGCTATACATGCAAGTATAACAGTAAAAGAAGATCTTTTATGACCAGTAGTATGAATATTAATTGATTTTTTGCCTTTTATATTAATAGAACTATTGTTTGGTAAATCAAACCAAAGAGGCATCTCATCAATATTACAAATATATTGTAAGGGATAATCATGTTGGATTCTATGATATAATATATAATTTAAAAAAGACTGTTGCTTTTCAATTAAATCTTGTGCAAGATGTTGAGCTATTGTTGTTCTGCATCTATTAGAGAGATTATATCGCTCAAAGAATGCATCAAGCCACCTGTTTGAAAATTTAAACTGGCTAATATCAGGATATCTTAAATGAAATTCATTTTGTGACAGAGCTACAGCCTTTTTTGTAATCATAGTATGTGTAACTGCATTACCACAAGCTCTTGTTACATTAATCTAATTAAACAAATTATCTTCCAAATCAGGATATTTAGCTGGTTTTTCAAGATGAAGTTTTTTAATATATGGCATAGCTAGTAATAGATTATCCTTTTTGTTTTTCCAATCACGTATTTGTTTAGGTTCCAAATCAAATTGTCTTGCAGTTCCACGTATATTATTATTATTATTTACAAAGTACTCTAAAATCATAAGTTTTTCTCTAACAGTCCATGAACGACGAGCTTTAGAAGACAAAGTTTTCCTGGCTTTTTTAAATCGTCTGTTTGTAATACGACCTATTGTAAAGTTGTAATATATGTAAATTAATTACGAATTTATATTTTGACTTTTTATATTTTTAAATTTTTATTTAGAATAGCAGAATATAAATTATAAGGTAATACAAAGTTAAATACATTTTTAATGCAATATTTATTTACATATATACCCAGGTATTTTACAAATAAATATACCCCTCATGTACAATACCTCCATGTAAAGTACTCTTATCGGGCTTTAAAATGCCCAAATTTGTAAAAGACCTGGGGTACTTTGGCAAATGGAATACGGTATATCTTTTAAAAAAATTTAATTTAGTATATTGATAAAAAATCTTAGATGATTACGAATTTTCTTAGATCACACAAAAATAACTAATTCTGATTGATTGAATCTATTGTTTTGACAATTTTGATTGGTCAATCTCATGATTTCCTATATAAATTTTAATTTGCCATATAGATCATATAAAAAATGATCTACCCTTAAATGTGGTCAAGAAATTAAAATTAACTAATACAATATATAATAGCCACTCAAAGCTAAAAATGTATTCCAAACGAAGAAGCAATGAAGAAAAAAATTAAAGCCTACCTTGAAAGAATAAAAAAGTAGTAATTAAACATGATCAAGAATTCAATATTAACTAACACAATATATAGTAACTGCTCAAAGTCAGAAATATAATTCCAAACAAGAAGCAATAAAGAGAAAAATCAAAGCCTATCTGAAAAGAAAGAAAGAATGGTATTTAGAAAATCAAAATCAATACAATATATAGTAAACACCTAAAGACAAAAATATAATTCTAAATAAAGAAGCAATGAAAAGAAAAATCGAAGCCTATCTAAAAAGAAAAAGTAGTAGTTAAATAACAAAAAGAAAGAAACAAAAAGGCTTAAAGTGTTTTAAAAAATTATAATTAACTAACATAATAAATAATCAAAAAAAATAAAAAATATATACATATATAAAGTTTATATATAATTACTATTAATAAAAAAAAAGATAATAATTATTAATACAATGACAATTATTATTTACTAACAGATGATCTATCGTGTTGCTCTGAATTAACTACTAATTTTTGTATAATAACAGTTATACAGGCTCATTGCCAACGATCATATGATACAATTTGAAAGTTAACAGTCAATCAGATCATATTTTTGTCTTATAGTGTTTATTATTTTGTGTAATACTATTGCAAATTATAATATAGATGTTCTGTGCATTATTTACAATTCAAATCAATATAAATTAAATTATCATTATATCTGTATTAGTATTAATATACAAAATTTATTTTATTTATACAGCAAAAAAAAATAAATGAAATCTCACCAAAATTTTCTGATTGTTATTAAAATACTAATCTAATTTTTTTAAAATTTTTTTTTTTTTTTTTTTTTTTTAATGTTAAGGTGACCACTTTGGGGTCTGGCACGTTTTATTAAACTTTGGATCAAATGCCAGGGCAACCACATGGGCTATCCCTGACTTTGTTATATTAATAAGGATATATACTAGCCATATATACAACTTTTGGTTGTTTATTTAAGCAGTCTTGTATATGTAACCTATATGAACTACACTAGATATCGTACCTGTAACCCACTATCACTTGAGTTACCTAATTAAATCCTCTGATCAACTTAGCACTGTCGGGTTATTCTCTTCAAAGAGGAACTGCCATGTAAGCCCCTTAGGACTTTAAAGCAGATACACACTACCATATAGGAGGGTCCTTTATCCTTGTGATAAACCTACCAGAGCAGTCCATGTTCTATACATGTATCATCTAGATTTTCAGTAACTTATATCTAGGCCGCGGCCAAGTACTTGCAGCTTTTTACCTCCGCTACCGTTACCTACTCTGTGCCCTTACAAAGTTTGCTCAAACCCAGCATACACTTTATGAACTATCAACAGTACTTCGATGCCAACTAACAATGTCCCAAATTTCCAATCCAGATGGCTCGGGAAGAACCAGTGGGCGTTCTCTGGTATTCTGAATGAATCCTTTTTTCTCCAGCTAGTTTGGCAGCCTGGTTGGTATAGTGCTTTTGCCAAACACTTGGTCCTCGTTCAGTTTACTACTAATGTCCAGTTCTTCAGATGATAATTCTTTACGTAGTACCGTTAAAGATCTGTGCTACCTTTCTACTTGGGACTTCCCAAGCGGGCTTCCGTATCCTCTGATCCCTTGGATTGATTTGGCTGCTTCACTCGGGTTTCATATAACTCATGTGTTACATTACATTCCACAACCTCCTAATATGAGTTAGTGAGACCAAGGTTACAGATGCTTATTCAATCGATATGTTATACAGTTTTACCATAACGCATTTCCACAAATTCGAATTTCATTGCCGATGAGATTCGAACTCTTGTCCTGCCGCTTGGGGGTGTGACAACTTACCAACTACACTAAGTCACCACACCCTAATTTTTTTAAAATATTTGCTTGTTTAATATAAAATTTTCTTACAAAAAAAAACTAAAATATTGTTACAAGTGGACTGTAGCCTTCTTAATATAGCACAAGTAACAAAGCACACAGCTATAGAGCTCCGTTGCGAGATTATAGCGGTGTGGAAGTGGAATGTTACTTCAC